TGTAAAGAATTTTTCAAATTGTTTCTTGCCTTCTGATCTAGTGACGCTACTTTGAAGTATTACACTGAACAGGTCCAAGCCTGCAAAAAGGGCTTTTTAAATATTAGTAAAGGCATGTTTATTCCTCAAGTACAGGACTTCCTGATAAAGTTATTTTATAGAGAATGTAGCTTAGTGCAAAAGCTAAAATATTATTTCAAATGTCCACACTGCCTACCAAAAGGAAAAATGTGGTTTAAGAATGAACTGAAAACTATTTTCTTCAGACACACATTAAACATAAGCAAGGTTTTCTCTGAGTTTTTCTAAATGGCAAGAAGAAGATAAGGAGCCTGACTGTCTTTCTGTTTTACTTTCTCATGAGTAATCAAATGTAATTTATATTTTATATGTTACTATTCATAGTGTTCATATTTTGTTTCTGCTAGATTGTGTTTTTAGTATCTGGTAGATCCCTTCTTCTACATATGATAAAGATAATAATTGTATGTTTTTTTGTGTGTGTGTTTAGGATCTAACACTAGGTTTCCGTCATGTTAGGCAAGCACTCTAGAAGTGAACTATTATCCCTTCCCCTACCCCAGACACTACACAGCATTATTTTAACAGAGCTGCAGATTTAAGACATATAATAAGACTTAAAAAGCAGTTGACTGGGAACTTACAATTAAGTTTTTGTGACTTTTCCTTCCTTTTGTTTATGGGATGAGAGATGCTTGATAAATGAGATTATTGTCAACTCAAAGCTAGAACAGAATTCTTAAAGTGGTTGCTCTCATTCCCATACTTCTTGATTTTCCTCTAGTGTTTGTGTACTTCAGGAGCGTTCAGGCGGGTGTGTGAGTCCACATCTTCAAAAGATTACTTTGGGTTAGAACAAAAATTATGTTTTGTTAGAACAAAAATTAAATTTTGTTAGAACAAAAATTAGAATAACCTTGGCATCAACATATTCTGAACTGTGTAGCATCAGTCCGGATGTTTTTGTTTTAAGTCACTGTAAACTACAATTAATGAAATATAATATCAAAAATCACAATTCAGCTTGAGAAAGCAGCATATTCATAGAGGGAACTTAGTAAAATTAAATCATATAAGTATCTCCTTGTTAACAGACGAAAAAATAAACACAGACATATGCAATATGAAATTGGAATCACCTCCTGACTCATAAAATAATAATACTTTTTTGCTTTAAAAAAAACCCTGCATTTTATGAAACTAAGAAAAATCAATGAAAATGTAGTTTTTAGCAAGGAACAGCACCTTAAGACTATTTAAGATCATTGTAGTTTTAACTGTGTGGGTTTTTCAGTATGTTTTTAGTTAAAATATATGTATTGCTACCAGGAAACTAATCTTGCAGACCATCAATTGGAAACTCAAGTCTTTTTAATGCTAAGCTTCATGGCCTTTTCTTCTAAGTTTGAGAGTATTGAGTGTTGTGAGAACTTTAACTTTTTAAAAAAGAAAATAGCAAATCAGTGAGAAATGTTCAATACTCTAGTGCTTCTGACTCTGATCAAGTTAGTTTTTATTTAGCATGATCAATATCCCCCTGTCTAATATGGATGTGCCTTGGTGAATAAGTATCATTTTTTTCTTTGTTGCCTTATACTTTCTCTTTATTAGACTTACTGTTTTCTAGAGGACTGAGAAAAGTGAAGTCAACTTTAAATACATATATATACATATACATATATATGTATATATACACACACATACACACACACACACACACACACACACACACACGTATTATTTGAAAAGTTCAAACCAGTATACAATGTAGTTTGATCACATTTATCCATCAGTATCCACTTCCAAATCCAAAGTCACCCCTCCCAACTTCATATCCACTTTTTATTTTTCAATTTTTTTAATTTTTATTTTTAATGTCTTTTACTTAAAATGTAATTACATAATTTTCCCCATTCCCTTTCCTCTTTCCATCCCATTCCATGTGCCCCTCTCATTCTCACAATGATAACCTATTTTTCTTAGATCATTATTCTGATGTGTGTGCATGTACAGATACGTAAGTACAATCTGCTGCGTCCATATTTGCTAATGTGTGTATGATTTCAGGGCTCACCATTTTGTACTAGATAAAGAGTTATGGGTTTCAGCCCTAGGAGACGGTATTTCTCCTTTTCTCAATAGTCATTAGTTCACTGTCACTCTTTATTTGCAGATGGGACGTTTTGAGATTTTTCTTCCCTTCCTGTGTTAGCATGTCTTGATCTCGTCATTTTTCAGGTCTTCTTTAATCAGCCATTTCTCAGAAACACAGTCTCACGTCAGTCTCCCTCATCCTCTGGCTCTTAGAACCTTCCATCCCCTCTCCCAGTGTTCCTGGAGCCTTCTTTGGTTATAGTAGTTGTGTTGTAGATGCATCCCCTGGGGCTGGAGTCCCTGTGATCGATTGATCTCTGTGTTGTGTCTAGTTGTGAATTTCTGTAATGGTCTCCACTTTCTCTAAAGAGACACTTCTTTGACATGGGAGGAGAGCTACAGTTATCTGTGGGTATAAGGATAAATTTCAGAGTATGTTAAGAATTATGCTGATCTTTTAAAGTGGAGGTAGTAGGTTTTCTTTGAAGACCCATGACCTCACTACTGCCAGGTAGTTAGCTAGGTTTTCCGCATCAGGCCTGATTTCGCTAATGTTGAATGGGCCTACAGTACAACTAGAGAGCTGTTGGCTACTGGCAAAGAATGCTATTCTTGGGGTTGGGGATTTAGCTCAGTGGTAGAGCGCTTGCCTAGCAAGTGCAAGGCCCTGAGTTCAGTCCTCAGCTCTGAAAAAATAAATTAATTAATTAAAAAAAAAGAATGCTATTCTTACACCATATGTCTCTTTACCATGTTGGTCAGGTTGGGGTTCATAAGCCTCACAGCTAGATATCTATTGTTTCCCTCCCTTTGCAGCTTGCATAAGACTTTCTGATCCTTTGCAAGCTAGACTGCAGGAGGGATCCAGCTCAAATCATGCAAGTCCTGTGTCCTAAGTCCAGTGTCTATTGCTGTTAGTATTTGCCTGTTCAGTTTTATTTCCTCAGTGTGGTTGTTCTGTTGTCACTATTTTAAAAAGAAAGACAAATCTCAGTTGTTAAATGTGGTGTGCTTAGCAAGAAGATACTGCCCCAGCTTATTGCCAATACATATTTCTATAAACATCTTTAAATATGTATACATTTAACACATTTAGTATAATATATTCCTACACTGCAAAAAATAAACATCATGAAAATATTTATTAGATACTTACTGTGTAGCAGATAGGTGCCAGAATGGGAAACAGTACAGAAAGAAACACAGTTCCTACCCTCAGGGAGCTCTCCATATAGTGGTAGTTAGTGACAGCCTTATCTGTCACTTTATTAATATCCCTAAGTGACTCACATATGTCTTTCTTTTTAAGACTGTTAGCTTTAGATCAGCCACTTCTTCATGCCCTTGCTTGGTGATTATAGCAAATTTCAATGTTCTTTTAGGGTCAGGAAATTATGTCTTTGATCTTGTAAAGATGACATATATGTCTTTTAGAGCATCATATATTTCTGAATGGTGAGAAATTAATTTTTTCACTGGTCACTTCATTGGAAGGAAGTCATAAATGAATAAAGCCCAGGTTGAGCTTGACACATTTAGAGAGACCTTGAGGTAAAAGAAGAAGCCTTAAATCTACTGAGGATGGTTCTTAGAATAATTTAGAAGTCCGTATGGGTGTTTTGTATCCTTGAAAACTCTTTGAATGGCAACTCTATACACTGGATTATGTTTAACTTTCCCTTACTCAGCTGCTTGTCAAGAATCCAAGAACTGTTTCATTACTGATTTAAGAAGCATGGAGTTCCATCTTGGTCTGGTTTTATATACCTTTTCCTCTGTATGACATTGGGAAAGAAGATGTCTTTTCAAAAATACAGGTTCTTCCTGTCTAGGACCAGACTAGACCCTCTGCATATAGGAGACAGTTGTGTAACTGGGTATATTTAAGGATTCCCTGGCAGTGTGATCAGGATCTGTCCCTGGTGCATCAGCTGGCTTTCTGGACCCCATTACCTGTGGTCAGACACCTTGCTCACCCCTGATAAAGCAGGGAGGGGCTTGGTCCTGGTTTAATTGAATGTACCAGGCTTAACTATCCCCCCATGGGAAAATGTGCCTTCTTGGAGGAAAGCAGGAGGGGTTGGGGAGCAGGAGGAGGGATGAGTGGGGGATCTGTGGTTGGTATGTAAAATGAATAAAAAAAATAGGTTCTTTATCCATATAAGTTCATGGGAGATGAGGATCTGCACTCTTCTAGCTTTGTCTTTTGGAATAAGCTTTGGTATCTTGCAGATGGTGAGATGTTATAAAGAAGGCAAAGAAGTTATAACTTGACTCTATAATGTCTCAAAGATAATTCAAGACACATGTACACAGGGGAAGTTCTTTCTGCTGCTGCTCACATGGGGAAGCAGGACTATAAAGGAATCTTATAGGACAGCTAGCTGGATTTTACCTAAGGTATAAAATATAATCACTAGTTCAATATTAATGTTAGTTTTTCCATTCATGTAACTCAAGTGATGAAGTCTGGTTAAAGAAAACTGGAGTTTTAAAGAAATACTTTCATTTTAATTCAGGAATTTCACTGTGAGTGTAATTTATTATATTAGTACAAAGTCCTTATTTTAATCTTGAATATTATTACATCAGTATCTCTGAAGGACTGATTATATGTTAAAATATGTACTTTCCTTAGGAAAAATGATTGACATAATCATCTTATAATTGTAACTTCATTCCTGGTGTGTCCCTTTATGTGAAAAAAAAAAGGTATAAAGATAATGATGCTGATTCTAATGAGGGGGTAGTACTGGCCTCATAGGATTTATCTAATGATAGCCTATCTTTACTTTAAAAACGTTTCCTTACTTTTAGAGCTTGTCCTTTTGATCATGTGCTGAAATCTTTACTTATTCTTAACTTTCTCTGTCTTCAACATGTAGGGCTGTGATCTTATTTCAACTCCTGACCAAGACCACACTGATTTCACCAAGTGTCTTAAAGTGCTCCAAAGGAAGATGGAAGAAAAAGAGCTGCAGGTAAGGTGTGTGCCTACCGGAAAGGAAAGTCTGGTGGTCACGATGCTATAAAAAGACCATGTGTAGTTATTTAATTCTGTTTTGTTAGTTTTGAATTTCCATCTGTTTTTTTTTTCTTGTGTGTAACATAAATCTGGACTGAGCTGGGAAGACATTAACGTATGTGCATAGATAAGAAATTGCAAATATTGATGACTTAGAGGTACAAACAGGTGAACTGGACCATGTGTAAAGTAATCCAAACAGATTTTTTTTGCCAACTTAAAGTGATTAGCAAGTCATCATTTCTCACACCCTGTTGCCAGTTAGAGATATGCATGATTTTGTGATATTTCTGTATCAATGTTGTGTATTGTGCATGGAAAACAGATACAGCCTTGATTTGGCCCATGAGCCATCATTGCAAAGTTTATGTAAAGAAATTAAAATGCTGCTTTTATTGTATTTTAGCTAGAGAAGGCATCTACTGATTTGCATTTGTGTATTATTTAATGATTTTCATCCATCACCCAAATGTTCAATTATATTAGGTAGTACACAGCCTATATTTCTTATGCTTTAGTACCTGTGGAAGTGGTATGAAATTTGTTTTAGGTCTTTCTTTAAATGAACATCTAGAAAATTATAACTGAAGCATTGAATGATAAATTTTTATTGTTTGGTCTGGCTAGGGCAATAACTTAAGCCAATATGTATTATCAGTTGTATAATTTTACACCAAGGAAACACCCTTGTATATGTGAATGCTTTGGTAGCATAAGTATCAGCAAATGCATGCCAATCTGCTATCATTAGTCTAATGCAGTAGAGAAGCCTACAAGCACACCTCAGGCAGGTCCTTACTCTGTTTGCTTGATTTGTATTCACATGCTGTGTGGCTGGGTCTTCACAAGGCTTCCTTGATGGTGAAACTCTTTACAGCAGGGAGGTAAAGTTGTGAAGACTTACTCATCCTTTTCCACCACCCACCAACTTCACTCCCAGAATCTCTCTATTACACCACTCATGGGTTGGCAAAAGAGGAGGAGTGTCCCCTGCCTGCTTTCAAGAATGAGGAGTGAGCTTGATCCGCCGGAGCATTTATTCAAAGCCCACAGTATCCATCTGGCATAATGGCATGGTTGTGGGAGAAGCAACTCTAATAAGAACTTATTCCTTTGCAGTGAGGTCCCTCAGAGATTTACTCCGGCATATATGTTCTAAGTTGGGGGAATAAATACTTTTCTCTCTTTGAAGATAAACCTTGTTAACTGTCATAATTGGCAAGGAGTTCAGTGTGCAGACACAACAAAAGTAATTCAGTGAACATTGCTGAACTGTACTAAATATATTGTGCTATTTCCAGCAGTAAATTGCTATAATTTTAGTATTTGTTTAGGTTAAAAAAGAAAAAGAAAAAGAAAGAAAACAGCCAATTGAGAATTATCTACTTTAACTCATATAGCTGATTTGGGGTTTATTAAGAAAAAAATTGTAAATCTTTGCAACCGTATCTCTATTTTTCAAGCATTTCTGAAAAATTATTAAAAAATAGAAATGCAATTATGTGATTCCCATTTTTGTATAATTGATAGTATCTTTAATACAGTGTTTAGTCATGTGTCTCAAAAGAAACAATTATATTTCAACTCAACAAGATCTCCACATACAGAAAACTCCCACACTAAGGTAAAAGAAATGATCTGAAAAACAAAAAAAAACATATGAAAGTATCAAAATAAGCAAATAATAATAATTACTCTTAAGTATTAAGTCCAACCAGAGTTTCGAATGAGGTACCTGCTAGAGGAGCAGCAGTATGCACCCATAGCGATGACCTTTTTTCTAGCTGTGCTGGCCCTAGGTCTGCTGCTGCTAGGAGGAGTAGGGTTTGGCTCCAGGGTTTGCAGGGAACAGCTTGGACTTCCTGTGCTGTGTGCTGAAGTGGTTGTAGTTGGGTGGTGGTGTGCCTGAGCTTTTGTGTGGAGGAAATGCACTCATGCCTGCCCTAGTGGCCAGGGCCTTCTGGTATGCTCCAAACCTGCATCCTCAATCCTATACTTAATGGATCTTTCTTATAGATCTTAAAGTCTACCATTTTCCCCCCCCTTCTGTCCCCAGGCAATTCTACGTGTTTGTCCCTTTGCTTGAAATCCTCTTTTGTTTGTTTTACTTTTCTTGCCTCAACCATACTTGACTCATTTGCCAGGCTTTCCTTACTGTTCATGTAGGTTAGGGTTTGCTCCTCCTCATTTCCATATAGCCCACTATTTCTCCTTTAGGGCACACTGGACATTTTAAAGCATTTTGTTAATTATTTCTAATTATTTGTCCTAAGTTTTTCTTCACATCTTTACTATCCAACCAGGAAGCTGGGGTCAGGTGCAGGTACTAGAGACTTAATGGAAGTGCTTTTCATAAAGAGGCGCCCTCATTATTTGATGAGTTTGATGTTTTGTGAACATAATGAAGAGCACAGTTACAGAGAAGGCTTTTCAGAGGGACTGTGACAGGCTAATAGGATCTAAGCAGCAGAGGGGCAAAGCAGGTTTAAAATCTGCACTGTACAGCAAGGACAGATTGCTTGGTAAAGGCAGGAAAACAACATATCCATTCTTCAGGGCTCCAGATAGGCCTTAGAATTAAATTAATTTAAGCTGAATCAATAGAAGAAAAGCATACTCATTTATGTAATACAGATTTTTTACATAGCATAAGAATCATTGAAGAGATATGAAATCCCAAAGTTACATTTAGAATCAGTTACTTAAGTAACAGACTGGACAAAGTATATTTGTATTGAAAATAGTTCTTTTTTATACAATATATTCTGATTAAGATTTCCCCTCCTCCTATCCCTCCCAATTCTTCCTCACCTCCCCTTCTGTCCGGATCTACACCACTCTGTCTCTCATTAGAAAACAAACACCTAAAGAATAATAATAATAAAATACAGTACAATAAGGTAAAACAAAACGAACAATCCAGAATATGACAGAACAATCAGACAAGAGAAGGGGCCAAAGGAAAAAAACACAAGAAACACACACACATGCTCACACACACACAGGAATTTCTTAAAAGCACGAAACTGGAAATCATAATATATATACAAAGGACCTGTATGGTTAAAAAAAATACTCTAACAGCATTATGAGACAAAAATACTATGGAGTTCATTTTTGTCTTGGTCATTTACTGTTGGGCATGGAGCCTACCCTTAAGAGTAATTTGCTTCCCCAGTGAGATGCCCCTAGCGAAAACAGAGTATTTCATTTGCAAGTGGCTATCAATTGGAGGTAGCTTCTGGTTAGGAATTGGGGCGTGTGTCCATTTCTCCTTTCAGCTCCAGGACCCCCAGCTGGACCAGACCCATGCAGGCCCTGTGCATGCTGCCTCAGTCTCTGGGAGTTCATATGAGCTTTGAACCTGTTGATTTACAGGGCCCCGCTCTTTTGGTGTCTTCCATCCCATCTGGCTCTTAACTCTTTTTCCGTCTCCTCTTCCACAAGGTTCCCTGAGCCCTGAGGGGAGGGATTTGATGGAGACATCCCATTTAGGGCTAAGTATTCCAAGGTCTCTCACTTTCTTCATACTCTTTGGCTTTAGGTCTCTTATTTGTTCCCATCATCTATGGGAGGAATCTCTGGTCATGGGTGAACAAGGCATGGATCTACTTTCTTGATCGGGGAATGACAAAGAATATTAGTTGTGGAAAAGCACCTAAATTATGCACATAGGCAGATTTTATTAGTCCCTTAACCAGCACCATGCAGAGTTCTCTTAGTCTTCTCTTCTCGTCTTTGAGGATAAGCTGTTGCCTCTTCCACACAGGCACTGAATTTCTGTTTTTAAGAAAAATTGTGAAGGCCAGAGACATCTTTTTGTACTGAATTTTACACTATTTATAATTTAAATATTCAGCATATTAGAGTGGTCTTTATATGTTGGGGTGGCTTATTCTGAGCTTCCTTAGCTTCAGTAGTCAATGAAAGACAGTTGAAGAAGTTTATGATGGAGAAGACAGTTATTATTTTAGTATTTTAAAAAATATACTTAGAGAGTGGGGAGATAGTTCAGATGGCTACACAAGGCATGGGGACCTAAATTAGATTCCCAATACAATATAAATGCAGGGTATGTTGGCATGTATCTGTAATCCTCAGGATTATATTATAATGCTGAGAATGAATCCTCAGCTCCGAGGAGGCAGTGACAGGAGAATATAGGCCAGAATCTAGCCTAGCTAAATAGTGAGCTCTGAGTTAAGGAAGAAACCCTTATCTCAGAAAATAATGTAGAGGGTAATTGAGGAAAACACCCAACTTTAACTTCTTGTACATATGTATGTATGTACGTACGTACATACGTACACACACACACACACACAGCATGTTTATACAAGCTAAAGACTGTGTTGCTCATGGTGAAAACTTGTTGAGGTAGCTGTCATTCAGACTGAAAAGCATGGTGATGGTTGTCTGCCCTCAACTGCATTTACATTGTCTGTACTTTAGTTACTTATAGACAAGCATAGTTTGAAAATGTTAAACTGATAGTTGCAGAAATCAGTAATTCATGAATTTTTACAATATTGTGCCTTTGTGGCTAGCTGCATGAATATTTTGTGCATTCTCCTCTGGGAATATGGATTTATCCCTGTGTCCAGGGTTTCCATGTTGTGTTCACTACTTTCTTGTTAGTCATTTATTTGCTGTTTTGTGCATTGGATTAATGCACACAAGATCCCAGTTCTGTCTGAGTGGGCCTATCTGTCATCATACTCTTATCACAGTGCTTGGTCATTCTCTTCCCTTCATCTCATCACATAGTCATATTATTTCACATTACTATAAGAAGATAAAGGGTTGGTTCTGTACAATAATGTATTTTGAGGCCGAAACCACATTCACATAACCTTCCCTCTAGCATATTGCTGTGCTTGTCCTACTTCAGTGTTGGTTACTATTATGTTGCCATGTATTAAATGTGAGGAAATCAAGTTTCTATTGGATTTTTCA